CATATCCATCCAATTCTGTTAATATTTAATTAGTAAGTAAAGTTAGGAGAACCGAATTCTGATATAGAACTGTCGCCATTATAATTCATCCTTAATCCAGGCTATGATTCATATTCAGGTCTCAATGATGTTATATAAGATTTATGGAATTAAGAAAATCGATTCGAAGGATCAAACTTGGTCAAGTTTGAATCGAGTCAAGAGGTGAATTATAGAGAATTATATAGGGAACAACGAAAATCGATTTCTATTATTCTGGGTTTATGTAGAACTTTGATGAATCTGTTTCATATTCTGATCGATGCACGATTAAATCCCATTACTCCTGTAAGGTATGGTTCATTAAAAATATAATTTACACTACAATAGTTTATGGATTTGCAAAAAGTTGTAATAAAATTGAAATAAAGATGAATTTATAATAGTAATTATTATTTCAATTCTTTAAATTTATTCAATCTTGAATAAATTTGTTATTCATCATTTAATTTATAAGATGGCAATGCTTATTTGAATTTCTTTACTTTAGAATATTAATTTGTTATCGATGGCCAATATCGTGGAAAGTAAAGATTATAATAAAATTTATAAAAATAAGAAATTTAAATGTAGCTTTATATGATTTTATAATATAATGTTCAATACTATATTTAATATATAAATATTCGATACCAAGTAAAATAAAATTTCACAAAAGTTATAGAATAAAATATAGATTAAAAGAAAAACATTGTAAAATAACAATTCAATCATTTTTATTAGAATATAGATTTTATAAAATTATTTATTAAATATTGAATTTTATAAAATTATCCAAACTGTAATCGTTACTTGTTTTAAAAAATTTTCCATGAAAAATACTAGATTTATTCATTTATTTATTTTTTAATTAATTTGGAATGATTTCAAGATAATTGAGGTTAGTAACAAGTGATAAATAGTAGAAGGGATTTTTTTGTTAATTTTGTTAATCTAGAAATACAATATTAATACAAGAATCAATCAAAAATAGTATATATCTACATATAAAAAAGAAAAAAAATGTTTTTTGTAATATTCATCTCAAGAAAATAATAAATTGTAATTATTTTCCTCTCAATTTTAGAAATCTTCAACTACTTTTAATATCTTTTATCCTTATATATTAAAAAAAAGTATGCTTTAATAAAATAATAATTAATAATCATTTCTCATCTCCTTTTTTTATTTTTAGAAATTTTTTAACTGTATTCAACTTAACTCTTTCTTATCATTCCCTGATACATATAAAAAAGATAGAAAAAAAAAAAAAAGAAAAAGAAAAAGGATAGGGCATCAAAGAATTCTAAAATCTACAATAAACCAAGAACACAAAAAAGCAATAATATTATTTATTGCTCGTATCAAGATATTCATCTCGATTAATGGCTTGAAATCGAGATGAATTAACTACAAAGGTGAACACACTATTTACAGCACGTAATTCGGCGCCATTTTCTTCCGCCGTTTAATCCATCCCCTAACACGGTACGATTTCACTCTCTGTATCTCAATGTTCTCGTTCTTATTAAAAATCTATGGGCCATTTCATCCTTTTTCTACGAAAAGAAGAAAAAAACAGAAGCTTTATTTAGCTCATTGTGCTAAGCTATTTAACTCTTCGGTCTAAACATTTCAACGGTGGAGTGGAAGGACACGGAAGAAACATTTTTTTTTTTTTCTTTTTAATTTTCCACTTCTGGAACACGACGCACGAGTCTTCTCGAGTATTCTATGAAAACAAAACAAAAAAAAAATAAAAATAAAAAAAAGAGGGAAATGAGACAGAAAGAGGAGAAATCTCTTCAACGAACCTCGTTAATGACTCGTATCCAAAGAGTCATCCAGTTCCTTTGAAGTTTGAGGAAGAAAAATTGTCCCATGTTAGGGATTAGATGGATTCATTTCGTTCAGTGCTCTTCCTTTATTTGATCCAGAGTAAGAAATTGATGAGACGGCATCGAAACATTTATTATATTATTTTTACTATTAGTGGCGAATTTTACTCGTCCAACTCGCGTCTTCCATACCTGTCAAAGCTGTTCTAGACGACTCAAAGATGTCTATCATTTCGATTGGAATTTTTTTCTTCACTTTCGAATCGCGTGTAAATTAAGAAATTGAGTTATCTTCAGTTATCTAGATTAATTGTTAGTTACACATAGGAAAATATTATGGAAAATTGGTTGCCACTTCCTGTGATGATGAATGATAACGAAGAATTATTATTATTGTTTATTAACAAGATGCACACAATTTCTATGATATGCTGTGAAAAAGTAATTTTTAAAGTTATTTGATCAATTAAAAAACCATGGTAATTTTACTTCATGTATTGCATACATTATTATATTATATTTAAATAAAATATTTATATTTTTACATTATACATATTGTATAATTTATTTAAATGATAATAAAATAAAGAATCGATAAAATCGCAAATAATTTATACATCAAACTTTCTCCCTTTTTCTCTTTACACAATAATACTTTTACAGGAAAGGGAAATTTTTTATATATATATATATTTTTAAATATTATTTATAAAGCTTTGTTTTGTTCATTTTAGATATAATAAAACAGAAAATCAACAATACTGCCTGAAACTAACAGCGCCAGAATTTTAGGTTAGCTCGTCAGAGCTTCGAAAGCTTCCACTTGTCCGCTTCCAGATGGCGCTGTCTCTGCGCGACAAATTCCAGATTAATAAAAACGATCTTGCCTTGGAAAATCTTCTACATCCCCAAATATTGTTATTTTATTTATTTATTATTACTTCTTTTTTTCCTTTTTTTCTATTTTATAACTTCTTTCGATTTTTTTTAGAATAATTCCTCCATATTTTTTTTTTTTAGAGGAAATGCTTCACAGGAAACAGCAACTTATCTTCCTAATTCTTCTCTTCCGCTTGTTCATTCGAAATGTTCACAACTCGAAATTCTTATAATCTAAATCTCACACTTTTATAATTCTTATGAACATATATATGAACATTTTGATATTTTCTAATACGAAATATCGGGATAATAATAATAATAACAATAGATAATACTCTTTTAATCCTGACATCGATATACAAGAAAATGCCTGCAATAAAATACGCCCCATCTTCTTTACGATCATTCGTAAAAACATTTTACGATCTTTTCGCCATATTTCTTTTTTCTTTCTTTTTTTTTTTTTTTTTACGATCTTTTGTAAAATATTCCTACGATACAAGATTCTTTCACTTCTATTACGTGAACACGATCTTTTTCGATAAAATCGGTATACGGAAAAAAAGAAGGGGAAAAATTACATTCTCCGAAATACAAATTTCCAATCGCTTTAAGACTTATCTCTCTGCACGAGAAGAATCATTTTTCCTTTATCCTCGCTCGAATTCGTAATTGATCGCAAAAAGACCTCGAACCTAACCTGTCCCTCGCTTCTATCTGTCCCTCTCCCATTTTTCCACATAATCCAACCGAGTACACGATTGACAGCGGACCGGATGCTCTTGTACGTCCATCTTGCTCCTCGTTTCCTCAGTCTTCGGGCTCTTTCAGCGATTCGCCGCCGTTTCCTAACGAGTTTTCTTCTCCTTCTTCGCCAAGATCGTCGATCCACGGTCTGTTGCAGGTGCTGTTTGCTGGAACACTTCGAACAACAACGAAAGGAACGTTCTCCATTGTTGGCGTTTCCCTTTTTTTAATTTTTTCTTATTTTTTTAAATATATATATATATATTTTTATATTTATATTTATATACGTTTCGTATAATCTATTTATATTATGGTTACTTTAAGCAACCTTTCGATCGTTTTTCTTTGGAGTTTTTTTTTTTTTTTTTTTTT